CAAAACTCTGTTTTAGCTACAATGGAGAAAACTAATTGGAGAGAAAGCAGGAGTGAAGACATTTTCACCCTAGGAATGAGTATTGTAATCCAGGCAAGAAATGATGGTGGCTTGAACACTTGGGAAAAGAAAGACAATTTTTAAATTGAAGTATGATTGACATGCAATATTTAGTTTTAGGTATACAACATAGTGTTTCAACACTATGCAATACTCAGCACAGTAAGTGTAGTTACCATCGTCACCAAAGTTATTACCATATTACTATATTCCCTAAGCTATACTTCCCAGTGACATTTAATCCTGGAAGTTTGTAACTCTTAATCTCTTTCCACTGTTTTACCCATACCTCCATGCCTTCCTCTCTGGCAACCACCAGTTTGTTCTCTGTATTTATAAGTCTATTTCTGTATTGTTTTATTTTTTGTTTTTTTTAGATTCCACATATAAGTGAAATTATGTGATATTTGTTACTCTCTGATTATTTCACTTAGTGTAATACATTCTAGATCCACACATCTTGTTGCATATTGCAAGATTTCATTCCTTTTTATGGGCTAAATAATGTTCCATTTTATATATATACATGCACACACAGCCCACATTTTTATCCATTCATCCATAAAAAGATACTTAGGTTGCTTCCATATCTTGGCTATTACAAACAATGCTACTATAAAAATAGGGGTACATATATCTTTTCAAGTAAGTGCTTTCATTTTCTTTGGGTAAATACCCAGAAGTGGGATTACTAGATCATATGGTAGCTCTATTTTTAATTCTTTAAGACACTTCATAGTGTTTTGCATACTAGCTACACAAATTTACATTCTCACTGACCCTCCACATCCTCACCAACACTTGTTATTTCTTGTCTTTTTGATCCTAGGCATTTTGACAGATGTGAGGTGCTATTTCATTATGGTTCTGACTGCATTTCCCTGATGATTAGTGATGAGTATCTTTTCATATGGCAGTTGGCTATCTACATGTCTTCTTCAGAAAAATTACTACTCAGGTCCTCTGCCCATTATTCAGATTTGTGTGCATGTGTGTTAAGTTATATGACCTCTTTAAAGACTTTGAATATTAACCCCTTGCCAAATATATCATATGAAAATAATTTCTCCCATTCCGTAGGGTTTTTTTCACTTTGTTGATATGTCCTTCACTATGCAAAAGCTTTTTTAGTAATTTATTCCCAATTATTTATTACTGCTTTTGTTGCCCTTGCCAGAGGAGACAGATTTAAAAAAAAAAAAAATACATTTCTGGGATGCCTGTGATGAGGGAGCAGAAGGTAAGCTGAGGACAAAGCACAAGCTGACACCCTGCAACCTCCCTCCCACCCCCACCTCACACTCCTGGGTGGGACATGTGTGACATTCTTCCAGGAATCTCCCAAGTGTTGTAATGTTAATACCTTGATAGAGGGGGAAACAACCTTAACTTGACAAGGGCAAGGCCTCTGGTACTTGTAGGTTGGTCCTCTTTAGCATATGAAAGTTCTTTTGAAACCTCCCTTTTCCTTACTTCTCCCAATTCCTGAGTATATAATCAGCCACTCCTCAAGACCCCAGTGCAGCAGATTTCTGCTTTAATAAACCACCATTTATTTATTTGTTTGTTTGGAATATATGTTTTACTTTTGGGTGAGGATTTTTTTTCTTATGATTTTATTTATTTGTCAGAGAGAGAGCACAAGCAGGGAGAGTGGCAGGCAGAGGGAGAAGCAGACTCCCCACTGAGCAAGGAGCCGGATGTGGGACTCAATCCCAGGACCCTGGGATCGTGACCTGAGCCCAAGGCAGACGCTTAATGACTGAGCCACCCAGGCACCCCAATAAACCACCATTTTGCACCAAAGACATCTCAAGAATTCTTTCTTGGTCATCAGCTCCGGACTTCACCCCACCAAACCTCACCTCTACTCCAAAACCACATCAACCTGGGTGGCTCAGTTGGTTAAGCATCTGCCTTTGGCTCAGGTCAAGAACCCAGGTCCTGGGACTGAGCCCTGCATGTTGGGCTCCCTGCTCAGCAGGGAGTCTACTTCTCCCTCTCCCCCCCTGCTTGTGCATACTGTCTTGTTCTCAAATAATTTAATAAATATATTTATTTGGATTATTTGGAATATATATATATATATTCATATATAAGCAGTATTGCTAAGACCAATGTCCAAGAGTTTATTTTCTATTTCCTTTTGGGTCTTTAATCCTTTTTGAATTTACTTGTGTGTATGCTGTAAGAAAATGGTCCAATTTCATTCTTTACGTATAGCTGTCTTGTTTTCCCAACACCATTTATAAAAAAGACAGTCTTTCCTCATTGTATATCCTTGCCTCCTTTGTCATAGATTAATTGACCATATAAGCATCAGGTTAATTCTTGGTTCTCTGTTCCCTCCTATTGATCTATGTGTCTGTTTATGTGCCAGTACTATAATGTATACAGTACACTCTGAAATCTGACTCTGTTAGTTCTACTTTTGTTCTTTTTCAAAATTGCTTTGGCTCACTCTGGAAAACTGTATGGAGGTTCCTCAAAAAGTTGAAAATAGAGCTACCATATGATCCAGCAACTGCACTACTGGGTATTTACCCCAAAGATACAAAAGTAGGGATCCGAAAGGGTACTTGCACCCCGATGTTTATAGCAGCAATGTCCACAATAGCCAAACTGTGGAAAGAGCCAAGATGTCCATCGACAGATGAATGGATAAAGAAGAAGTGGTATATATATACAATGGAATATTATGCAGCCATCAAAAGGAATGAGATCTTGCCATCTGCAACGACGTGGATGGAACTGGAGGGTATTATGTTGAGTGAAATAAGTCAAACAGAGAAAGACATGTATCATATGACCTCACTGATATGAGGAATTCTTAATCGCAAGAAACAAACTGAGGGTTGCTAGAGTGCTGGGGGTGGGAGGAATGGGTTGGCTGGGTGATAGACACTGGGGAGGGTATGTGCTCTGGTAAGCACTGTGAATTGTGCAAGACTGTTGAATCTCAGATCTGTACCTCTGAAACAAATAATGCAATATATGTTAAGAAAAAAAAAAGAAGAAGAAGAAGAAGGTAGTGGGAGGGGAAGAATGAAGCGGGGGAAATCAGAGGGGTAGACGAACCATGAGAGACGATGGACTCTGAAAAACAAACAGGGTTCTGGAGGGGAGGGGGGTGGGAGGATGGGTTAGCCTGGTGGTGGGTATTGAGGAGGGCACATTCTGCATGGAGCACTGGGTGTTATGCACAAACAATGAATCATGGAACACTTCATCTAAAACTAATGATGTAATGTATGGGGATTAACATAAGAATAAAAAAAATAAATTAAAAAAATTGCTTTGGCTCTTTGGGGTCTTTTGTGGCTTTATACAAATTTTAGCATTATTCTCGTTCTGTGAAAAAAGAATTAGTGTTTTGATGGGGATGCCATTGAATCTGTAGATTACTTTATGAGGTATGGATATTTTAACAATACCAATTCTTCCGATCAATGAGCATGGTATATCTTTCCATTTGTTTATGTCGTCTTCAGTTCGATCAATCTTGTAGTTCTCAGAATACAAGTCTTTCACCTCCTTGGTTAAATTTATTCCTAGGTATTTTTTGATGCTATTATAAATGAGATTGTCTCATTAAATTCTCTTTCTGCTATTTCATTATTAGTGTAGAGAAATACAACAGATTTCTGTAACTTTCTATCCTGCAACTTTTATGAATTTATAAGTTCTAATAGTTTTTGGTGAACTCTTTAGTATTTTCTCTATATAGTAACATATCATCTGGAAATAGGGACAGTTGTACTTCCTCCTAATTCTTGGAATGCAGTTTCTTATTCTTGTCTAATTGCTGTGGCTAGGATCTCCAGTACTCTCTTGAATAAAACGGGTTATAATGGACATCCTTGTCTTATTCCTGATCTTAGAGCAAAAGTTTTGTTTTTCACCACTGAGTATGATGTTAAGTGTAGATGTGTCATATTTCACCTTTCTTATGTTGAGGTATGTTCCTTCTATACCTACTTTATTCAGACTTTTTATCATGAACAGATGTTGAATTTTGTCAAATGCTTTTTCTGCATCTATTGAGATGATCATATGGTATTTACTCATTGTATTAATGTGGTGTATCACTTTGTGGCTATTGAGTCATTCTTGCATCCATGGAACAAATCCCAGTTGATCATGGTGAATGATGCTTTTAATGTACTGCTGAATATAGTCTGCACATACTTTGTTGATGATTTTTGCATCTATGTCATTAGGGATATTGGCCTGTAATGTTCTTCACTTATACTGTTTGCCTGGTTTCATATCAGAAGAAGTCTTACCTTATAGGATGATGTAGAAGCATTTCTTCCTCTTCTATTTTTTAAGCTGTGAGAAAGATAGTTATTAACTATTTTTTTAATGTTAGGTAGAATTCACCTGTGAATCTATCTGGTCTTAAACTTTTGGGGAGAGTTTTATATTACTGATTCACTTTCATTGCTGGTAATTAGTCTGTTCAGATTTTCTTTTCTTCCTGATTAATCTTGGAAGATTGTGTTTCTAGTAATTTATCCATTTATTGTACTTTGTCCAATTTGTTGGTGTATAATTTTTCACAGTAGTCTCTTATAATCCTTGTGTTTCTGTGGTTGTGTTATAACTGTTCTTTCACTTCTAATTTTATTTAAGTCCATTCTGTCCCTCTCTCCCTCTCTCTCTCTCTTCTGGGAAAGTTTTATTTTAGTTACACCAATTACTAAAATCATTGAGTTATTGTAGTACTAATTATAATCTATTAAAATACCATTTTAATATTGCTTATCATAATTACAATCCTTTCTTATAGCATTGCCTTTTAAAAAATGTTTGAGTATAGTTGATACACAATGTTACATTAGTTTCAGATGTAGAACTTCTCTATACATTATGCTATATTCAACACATGCGTCTGGCTAATGGTTTAAAAATTTTGTTTCTTTTCTAAGGGCCAGCTTTTGGTTTCTTTGATTTTTTTTTTTCCCTATTTATTTTTGCTGTAATCATTTCCTTCCTTCTACTAACTTCAGGCTTTGTTTCTTGTCTTCTAGTTTCTTTAGGTCTAAGTTTAGATTAAGATTTTTGTTTCTTAGGGTGCCTGGGTGGCTCAGTCGTTAAGCGTCTGCCTTCAGCTCAGGTCATGGTCCCGGGGTCCTGGGATCGAATCCCACATCGGGCTCCCAGCTCAGCGGGAAGCCTGCTTCTCCTTCTCCCACTCCCTCTGCTTGTGTCCCCTCTCTTGCTGTGTCTCTCTCTGTCGAATAAATGAATAAAATCTTTAAAAAAAAAAAGATTTTTATTTCTTGTGGTAGGTTTGTATTGTTATAAAACTTCCACTTAGAACTACTTTTGCTGCATCCCAAAGATTTTGGAACACTGTGCCTCCCTTTTCATTTGTCTCCAAGTTTTGGTTTTTTGTTTTTTGTTGTTTTTTTTTTTTTTTTTTCATTTTCTCTTTTGATCTCTTCCTTGACCCATTAGTTGTTTAGTAGCATGCTGTTTAGCCTCCAGGTGTTCTGATTCCTCCCAGGTTTTTTTCTTGTAATTGATTTCTAGTTTCACAGCACTCTGTTGGGAACAGATGTTTGATATGATTTCAATCATCTTGAATTTATTTTTTTCAAATTTTATTTATTTAAGAGAGAGCATGAGCACAAGTGGTGGGGAAGAAGGGGGTGGAGGGGTAGAAGCAGATTCCCTGCTGAGCAGGGAGCCTGACCTGGGGCTCAATCCCAGGACCCTGAGATCATGACCTGAGCCAAAGGTAAACGTTTAACTGACTGAGCCACCTAGGCACCCCTTTATTTGGACTTGTTTTGTAGCCTAACATATGATCTGTTTTGGAGAATGTCCCACGTGCCCTTGAAACAAATGTGTATACTGTTGTTTTGGATGGAATGTTCTATAAATCTAAATCTATAAATCTATAAAGCTTAAATCTTAAGTTCATCTGGTCTAACATGTCATTTAAACCCATTGTTTCCTTAATGACTTTCTGAGTGATCTATCCATTGACGTAATTGGGGTATTAAATTAACCCACTAGTATTGTATTACTGTTTCTCCCTTTATGATTATTAATAGTGCTTTACATATTTAGGCATTCCTATGTATGTAGATGTTTATAATTGTTACATCCTCTTCTTAGAATGATCACTTATCATTATGTTATTCTCCTGTCTTTTGTTACATTCTTTGTTTTAAAGTTTATTTGGTCTAGGGGCACCTGCGTAGCTCAGTCAGTTGAGCATCTGACTCTTGATTTTGTCTCAGGTCATTATCTCAGGATCCTGGGATTGAGCCCCTCTATCAGCTCCACATTTAGTGGGGAGTTTTCTTGACGATTCTCTCTCTCCCTCTGCCCCTCCCCCCACCTTGTGCATGCTCGCTTGCTCTCAAATAAATCTTTAAATTCTATTTTGTCTAAGTATTCCTACCTCAGCTTCCCCCCCGCCCCCGCCACACACACACACACACACACACACACACACACACACTCGTTTGCATTGAAAATCTTTTTCTATCCCTCTACTTTCAGTCTGTGTGTCTTTAAATATGAAGTGGGTCTCTTTTAGGCAGCATATAGAGGTTTCTTATTTTTTATACATTCAGTAACCCTATGTTTTTAGATTGGAGCATTTAGCCTATTTGCATTTCATGTAATTATTGATAAGTATGTACTTATTGCCAAATGTTTGTTTTCTGGTTGTTTTTGTAGTTCTTCACTGTTTCATTTCTCCTCTTGCTCTCTTCCCTTGTGATTTGATGAATTTCTTTAGTGTTATGCATGGATAACTTTCTCTTTTTTATTATAGTTATTTTGCTTTATTGTACTATGTGGTTCATATATAACCCCTATGTATATAGTAATCTATTTTAGGTCGTGCTTGCTTAACTTCCAACATGTTCTACAAACACCATTTTTACTCTTACCCATGTTTATGTATAAAACGTATTTTACATCTTTATCCTCATTCTGTTTTCTTAATTATTGAAATATAGTTGACATAAAATGTTATATTACTATCAGATGTACCACATAGTGATCAATAATTCTATACATGATGCAGTGCTTCCCATGATAAGAATAGTTACCATCTATTACCATGCAACATTACATTATTGAGTATATTCCCTATACAACAATTTTCTTCATGTAACTTATTTTATAATAGGAAGTTTGTAAATTTTAATCTGCTTCACCTATTTTGCCCATCCACACAGCCCCCACCTCTTTGGCAACCATCAGTTTGTTCTCTGTACTTATGAATCCATTTCTGGTTTTGTTTTGTTGTTTAATTCATTGTAAAGTGAAATCATGTAGTATTTTTGTTTATTTTACTCAACATGGGCTGGATCTAGAGTGTATTCTATCATGAATGGCAAGATTTCATTATACTTTATGGCTGAGTTATACTCCATTGTATATACATTTAACACATCTTCCTTATACATTCATCTATTGATGGACACTTGGGTTGCTTCCATACCTTGGTTTATGTAAATAATGTTTCAGTGAACATAGGAGTGCATATATCTTTACAAAATATGTAATTTTTTTTCCTTTGGGTAAATACCCCACAATGAGTTTACAGGATCATATGGTATTTAATTATTTGAGGCACTTGTGTATTGTTTTGAACAGTGGTGGCTGCAACAATTTACATTTCTACCAACAGTGCACAAGGATTCCTTTTTTTGCATTCTCACCACTTGTTATTTCTTGTCTTTTTGATGACCATCTAACAGGTGTAAATTCATATCCGACTGTGGTTTTGATTTGCATTTCCCTGATTAGCAATGTTGAGCATTTTTTCATGTGTCTGTTGGCCATCTATATGTCTTTTTCAGAAAAAATGTCTATTCAGGTCCTCTGCCCATTTTTTAATCTTTGTGGAGTTGGAGTGTATGAATTCTTTAAATATTTTAGAAATTGACCCCTTATCAGATGGATCCTTTACAAATAACTTCTCCAAGTCAGTAGGTTGCTTTGTCTTTTTTCTTGATGATTTCCTTCACTGTGAAAAATCTTTCTGCTTGGTGTAATGCCAATATTTTGCTTTTGTTTCTCTTGCCTGAGGAGATGTAATTAGAAAATTATTGCTAATGCTAACATTCAAGAGAATACTGCCTATGTTTTCTTCTAGAAGTTTATGGTTCCAGGCCTCAAATGTCGGTTTTAATATGTTTTATTTTTGTGTATGATGTAAGAAAGTGGTCCTGGTTCATTATTTTGCATGTAACTGTCCAGTTTTCCAACACCATTTACTGAGGAGACTGTCTTTTCTCCACTGTACATCTTGTCTCCTGTGTTGTAGACTAACCATGAGTTTATTTCTATGTTCACTATCTTGTTGCATTCATATATGTGACTATTTTTGTGCCAGTACCATACTGTTTCAATTACTATATGTTTTCATTATATCTTGAAATTTAGGATTATGATACCTCCAGCTTTGTTTCTCAAGATTGCTTTGGCAATTCAGAGACTTTTGTGCTTCCAAAGTACTATTGGTACTTTTGTTGGGATGCCACTGAATCTGTAAATTATTTTGGGTAGTAGGACTATTTTAACAATATCAGTTCTTCTGATCCATGAGCATGGTATGTCTTTCCATTTGTTTGTGTTGTTTTCAATTTCTTACATAAGTATCTTATAGTTTTCAAAGTATGGATCTTTTTGCCTGCTTGATTCTATTCATTCATAGATACTTTATTCTTTTTTAGGCAGTTGTAAATGGGATTGTCTTAAAATTTTTTCTCATACTTTGTTATTAGGGTATAGAAATGAAACAGATTCTGAATTTTCTATCCTTCAACTTTAATGAATTCATTTATTCTAATGTTGGTTTTTTTCCCCCCAGTGTCTTACTATTTCCTCTATATAATTATATGTCATCTGGAATTAGTTATGGTTTTACTTCTTCCTTACCAGTTTGGATGGATTGTCTTTTTCTTTTCTGATTGATGAGGACTTCCAATATTCTTTTGAATGTAAGTGGTGAGAATGGACATTTGTGTCTTCTTCCTGATCTTGGAGGAAAAGCTTTCACCACTGAGTATGATGTTAGATGTGGGTGTGTCACATATGACCTTTATTATGTTGAGGTATGGTCCCTCTATACCCGCTTTGTTGAGAACTTTTATTGTGAACAAATGTTGAACTTTGTCAAATGCTTTTTCTGTATCTATTGAGATGATCATATAATTTGTAATGGGTTTTTTGTTGTTGTTAATGTGTTGTATCACATGGATTAATTGTGGATATTAACTCATCTTTGCATCCCTGGAATAAATCCAACTTGTTCATGGTGAATGATACTTTTTTTTTTTTTAAGATTTTATTTATTTAGTAGAGAAAGAGAATGAAAGAGAGAGAGCATGAGAGGGGGGAGGGTCAGAGGGAGAAGCAGACTCCCCGCTGAGCAGGGAGCCCGATGCAGGACTCGATCCCGGGACTCCAGGATCATGACCTGAGCCGAAGGCAGTTGCTTAACCAACTGAGCCACCCAGGCACCCGGTGAATGATACTTTTAATGTGTTACTGACTTCAGCTCATATTTTGTTGAGAATTTTGGCATCCAGGTTTATTAGGGATATTATGTAGATTTGGGTTTTTGTAATGTCTTTGGTTTTAGTATCAGAGTAATGCTGGCATCATAGAATAAATTTGGAAGCATTCCTTCCTCTTTTATTTTTTGGAATATTTTGTAAAGGAAGTATTAACCCTTCTTTAACTATTTGATAGAATTAGCCTGTGAAGCCATCTGGTTTTAGACTTTTGTTTTGGGGGAGATTTTTTAAATTACCATTTCAACTTTTCTACTAGTAACCAATCTGTTCTGATTGTCTATTTTTTCCTGAGTCTTGGAAGATAAAATTTTCCATTCTAGTTTCTCCAATTTTTTGGCATGTAGTTTCTCATAGTAGTCCCTTACACTCCTTTATATTGCTATAGTGTTGGCTGCTCCTTCTCTTTATGATTTCATTTATTAAAGTCCTCTCTCTTTTTTCCTGATGAGTCTGGCCAAGGGTTTGTCAATTTTGTTTATCTTTTTCCAAAGAACCAGCCCTTAGTTTCATTTATCTTTTGTTTTCTTTTTCAGTCTCTATTTCATTTATTTCCACTGGATTCTTATTTTCTTCTAACTTTGGGTTTCTTTTTTCTTTTTCTTTTTCTAATTCCTTTAGGTACAAGGATAGATTGCGATTTTTCTTGTTTCTTGCAACAGCCCTGTATTGCTGTAACTAGGAACCGTTCAATGACTAAAACATTTTGTTTTCATTTCGTCTTTGATTTCTTTCTTTACCTATTGGTTATTTAGTAGCATGTTGTTTAGCCTCCGAGTTTTTTTCCTTATGTTTCATCAATGTTGTGGTCTGGAAAGATAGTTTATATGATCTTATTCTTTTTTAATTTGTTGAGAATTACTTTGTAGCCTAACATGTGATCTATCCTGGAGAATGTTCCATATGCATTTAAAAAGAAAGTGTACTCTGCTGGTTTGGGATGGAACATTCTGTATATATCTCTTAAGTCCATCTGGTCTAATTTGTCATACAAAGCCA